CTGCTGAGGTCAGAGCAACTCGCACCCAAATTCTGTTCCCACAGTTAAAAAATTCTGACTATGAGGACAAAGTTCTAATTACAACCATATATTTTGTCTATTCTGCTCCTAACTGGAGAATGCTTTGTCTTGCCCTTTATGAGCCTTGTGTACATTAACTTCCATAGAAACTGCACAATTGTGTATTCTCGCATGTAGTGCTGCCCTTGCAGTAGCCAGCTGTTGCCCCAGTTGATTACCAATAAAAATTTAGATGGACCAGTGCCTTTGCTGATTAAGCAGCATTGGCCCATCTTGGCTCCCCAGTTTCCTCCGTCTCTTTAGTTCTGTCTTTTAGTTTTTACTCGGCCTAGTGCCGTAGCACTGAGTAGGAGATCAGAACCTACTGCAGAGGCCTCTGATATACTGAGTTTCATCTCTGTAGTGTACAGACTCAGAGGTGGGATGGCAGCTGTACAATTTACAGTTCCCCCAGCTGGACATAAGGAATCTTTTCCTCACACCCTTTTCAAAGTTTCTCTCTTTTGTTTGGGTCACACCCTTCTTCAGAGGTATAAAGTGACAACTCACTGTGGTCTTAAATTTTCATGATAATTAGTGATGCTGGGCACTTTCTTATACAACTGTTGGCTACCTGCACGTCTTCTTTGGAAAAAACATCTACTCGGGCCCTTTGCCAACTTGCAATCCAGTTAATTCCTTTTTGGCATTGCACTGAGTTCTCTGTATGTCTTGGATATTGACCACTTATTGAACATGTGGTTTGCAAATGGATTTTCCTATTCCATAGGCCATGTTCCCATTTTGATGTCTTCTTTGCTGTGCACAAAATTTTCAGCTTAATGTAGTTTCACTTGCTTATTATTACTTTTGTTCTCTGTGCTTTTGGGATCAGACACACACACAAAATCACTGACGAGGCTGAGTGTGGTGGCACACACCTGTAATACCAGCACTCAGGGGCTGAGGCAAGAGAATCACCTCAAGTTTGAGGTCAGCCTGAGCTACACAGTGAGTTTAAGGCCTGCCAGAACCACATAGTGAGGCCCTGTCTCAAAACAGTGATGACCATAACAATCACTTCCAATATTAAAGCCAAGGAGCTGTTCCCTGTTTTCTTCAGGAATTTTTAGCATTTCAGGACTTACGGTTAGGTCTTAGTCCATTCAGGGCTGATTCCTGCTGTAATGGGAAGGCAAGATTTCTCCACATCCCTTTTCATATTAATGCAGTTTCCATCACTGTGGAGAGTTCTTTTCCTCTTTGTGCACCCTTGGTGTCCTTATCAAATGTCATCCCACTGTGTGCCTATGAGGTTATTTCTGGGCTCTCTGCTCCAGTGGTTTAAGTCAGTGTCTTTTAAAACATGCTAAATACTGCTTTATTTTGATTACTAATTTTATTGATTCTGAAGTCAGGATGTGTGACACCTCTTGTTTTGTTCTTTTGCTTAAGGTTGTTTTGCCTGCTCAGGGTCTTCTATGGTTCTACACGAATTTTAGGATTTAAGAAATGTTTCTATGAAGAATGAGTGTGGGCTTTTGATAAGGACTGCACTGAGCCTGCAAATTACTTTAGATTGTATGAATATTTAAAATATTACTTCTTCCAGTCCTCCAGCAGGGCTATCTTCCCATTTTAATTGTCTTCCTTAATTTCTTTTATCAGTATGTTACAGCTTTCAGAGTAGAGACAGAGAAGGTATATCAGTTAGATCTAGGGAGATAATACTAATTGTGGACATTAGTAATCCTTTTCCACCAAAAGAGGAGGATCTGGATAAGCTGATTTGAGATAGTGTTCCTGAACACCAGCAGGTGAGCTAGAAGGACGTGTCGCATAGCACACCTACCAGTGTGAGGGAGCCAAAGACAGTGTGAGGGGAGCAAAAAGTTGTTAAGGAAGGGGCTGGAAGAAGCGACCCTAGAGAAACTCCTGGGGCAGTGGGGCGGCTCTGCTGTAACCAAGGTGTCCAGCAAGACCAAGAGCCGGACCCCGCCTCTGTGATTTCCTTATCTTCCTGGCCACGGGGCCAATGGCAGTTGGAGACCTGTATTTGGTGAAGGGCAATGGAGAGAGACTGCAGTGTGTTTAGAGAAGCCATTAACAGAAGTGCAAGGCGGGGAAGCATCTGCAGGAGGAATCAATGCGCAGACCTTTGCACGGCAACGGCAGGCGGCACTGGGCAGCGGACAGCAGTGCACGTTTGGGCAGAGAGGTGAAGAGAAGCACAAGCCAGGCCGAGCGTCCTTACCAGTGGTGGGTGAGGTGTCACCTGAGCACAGTGACCCAGGTGGCGACAGAAGATGAGGAGCCAGAGGGGAACACAGCTCCTCTCTGTGGCTCAAGGCCCCGGTGGCTGCTCTCCCTGGGGCTCTACCACCAACCGTCACCTGCCCACCATAGGACTTTGTTGGAAAGCAAGAAAACCCACCCACCCCACCCCAGGAGATAAAACATTATCTCAAATTTATACTAGAGTGCGCACCAGGGTCTAGGAGCATTGCTCCACCAGGCTGCACTAACAGGTTAGAGATGACTGTTGTACGAACTACAGTTTACTCCACCTTTGCCTAAGTCAGTTAGGGAAGGCAGTCATTTTTAACCTTTTCAACTGTTAGTGACTCCTAATTTGTTTTCAAGGATTCATCTGAGAATTTTACAAATGTAGTAGCCATCCTGTGTCACCCTGAAACTTCATAATATGACCTGAAGCTCAGCCGCAAACCTGCTTATCAGTGTTTTGAAGAACCCCATGAGCTGGCTATAAACTGTTCAGTAGAGACCGCCTGGATCCCTGTGGACCCAAACTGCCACTGGCCACCGGCTTGGAGTCTCACAGGACAGACTGGTTACATAGGTGAGGTGCTAGGCAGGAAGCTCCAGACTTAAGAACTCCAGGAGGCCACAGGATGACAGATGCAGTGCCTGCAGTCCTTTGCAATCACCAGTGAAACATTTCCCTCACTTAGCCGCATCTAGACAGCGACGGTGAGCCTTTCAGAGCTCTCAGTGATACAAACAGCCCACTGTGGCACGCTTGCTGTAGGTTTGCCATGACTGAGACACTCCGAAGATGCTATAAATTGTCCCAAGTTCTTATTTACTAAAGATTTTAATCCTCGATATTATCACAAGGCCTCACGTCCACTAAGCGCTTGTTCGGTGCTAGGGAACTGTCCCGCTACACCCCGTGTCTCTCTCCTTACACCTTTCCAAGACAGGAACTTTTGTCTCTAGTTTGCAAGGGAGGAAACAAAAGGTTGGAAATATAGCAAATGTTCCTGACACAGCTAACACGGGAACGGCGAGTGGCCAAGTGTGAGCTCAACCCTGGTCCAAGTCACTGCTAGGCCCTGATTGGTACTTGAGGGGCAGACCGCAGAAACCTTTCAATAAATCTGCAAAGATCCTACCAAGCCAACTCCTTTTCAGGGTCAGCCAGACCTTTCACCTGAAACTTCTCTGCTTCTAGTGTTGCTCCTCTTGCAAGACCCTCATTTCTTAACATGCAAGGTAACGCAGAGAGCCGCTCAGGTCAGGGAGCCAGAGCAGGAGAAGCAGGCGTTGTCGGAGCGGAGGAAGCAAAGCGCTGTCTGTTGAGCCTCAGTGTTGGGAATGTTGGACCTGTGCTGGGGTGCAGGGAGCCAGGGGGCAGGG